TTTTTTTTTTGGGGGGGGGGGTATGGTACATGACTAGGTACAAGACTAAGACAAATACTAAGTGGATCAGTACAAAAGGTGGACCCCTCAATCTGGACCCCCTAGTGGAGCTCCTTTTGGACCCCTCTGGACCCGATCTGGATTCCCTTCTGGACCCCCATCTGGACCCGTTATTTTTTTCTTCCAAAAAATACGTGCTCCTGATTTAAATAATTAAACTTAGAACATAACATGATGAAGTCTATTTAATCAGTGAGCAAAATGTGAAGAAATTAATGAATTCACATAGCATTGTGTGAATAATGGCAGGGCCGCATTTTTGCAGCTCATTGCACTTAAACTGGGTTAACGGTTCCCATGGAAATTAATTGAAGAACAATAGATTCTTTTAACTGAGTTAGGTAAATTTTAAACCACCTTTCTGCGAGGTCTGACCCAGATTAGTGACCTGAACAGGAAGTGCTCATTCACCTTAGAACAGAGAAATTTTAAGACGGATTCTGCTCAAAGTTCAAGCAATAAGTGTAAAACTTATTTACTAAAAATCTACTCACAGCACGGCACCTGTTTGAATACTATTTAAAACATCTCTCATAAGAATGCTTAATGCTTGTGTTATTGTTTTTTCAGCTAACGTGAAACGTCTGTTTTTATTGAAGTATGGATAACTTCAAGTTTAATTTTCTCTCACGGGGTCAGCTTGAGAGCTGAAGTCTCAATAAGATCTTCTTACCTTCATTCAAAATATTACCATCTTATGAGGCTTTTTTGGTAACTTAATTTTTGCCATTATATGCTCGAAGGTTGTGCGGAAATCATCTTAATCGACCTGCACAAGGAACACAAGAGTATGTTAAACTGGAAAAGGCAGTTAATTAAAATGACAAGAAATGCATATGAATGAATGACTTCATCGTGTTATGTTCTGAAAATTATTTAAATCAGGAGCCCGTACTTTCTGGAAGAAAAAAATAAGGGGTCCAGGTGAGTATCCAGAAGGGGGTCCAGATGGAGATCCAGAGGAGGGTCCAGAAGGGGGTCTAGAAGGGGGTCCAGAAGGGTTCCCGAAGAGGTCCAGATGGGGTCCAAAAGGGAGTCCACCAAGGGGTCCAGATTGATGGTCCACATTTTGTAGCAACCCATACTAAGTTACATGTATAGGTGTCTTACCACAGTTTTTTTGGTTCTGCTATGTACAGTGCAGTGTGCAGTGTGAGTGTCAATTGATGCATTTTTTCCTTTCTTTTTATTCCCTTGCAAAAACATCCTTTGAAGCCCAGCTGGCCTACTGAAACTACATTTACAAGTAGCAACCTTCTGTTGTGGTATACAATTTATGCTGTAGTCCTGAATGAGATGCTACATGTAGTTTTCCTTGTTACTAGTTTCCCTGGCATTATTTTACCATGTTCTCCATGTCAGGTGGAAAGAGGGTTGAGGAAGTTCAAACCATGCTTTAATTTAGATTAAACAATAGATTTTTTTGTTGCATCCAGACATTAAAAACAGACCATACTATCAAAGTCCAATTACTCACTTACTGGGCATTACAGCACCAAACGTCTTGTGCATCCCTTCATATCAGATTATGTAAACTTTGCCATATTTTCATTTGATCTTTCTTGTAGAAATACTGCCCAAGCTTGTCTAACCTGGGAGGATATATTAATAGAGAATCCAACTGACATGTTTGCATTGAAAATGGCCCATGACTCGTATTTCTACCTTGGCTATCAGTCTCAGATTAGAGATTCTATTGCGCGTGTGCTCCCACGTTGGAAGGAAAATATCCCGCTTTATGGGTGAGAAATATTCATGTAGCTACATCGTATAATTAAGTGATTAAAAGCTAATAAAATTCTTGAGAACAGAATACAGATTCATTGTCAGGCAGACTATCCAATTAGCTAAGGAGACTGGTTCAGTTAAGATGGATGTCGATTGAACATACTGGTACTCAAAATAATTACAGAAAAATTCAAACAATCAGATGCAAAAGTGTTACTTATGGCTACCAGAGGCAACTACTAAGGAGAGATCTCTGACTTTATAAATAAATTCGACTCTGACGGTTACAATCATAATTATAATTAATTGGTATGTGTTTTTGGCAAAGGGTCGTAGCCCCCTTTACAACTGTAGGTCAGTGGAGAGGTTTGAGTGCATTTAGGTAGGAATAATCACTAACTAAGATCAATTTGCCATAACTGAATTATTTTGAAGTCTCATTGTTAGTCTTTTTATTTGAATATTAATTTTAAAAAAATAACTGTAGAAATTTATATGTGAATGTAACACAGCACAATATCTTTTAACTAGTAATCAATGCCATTAATTTATTAACACCTGTATCACCACTGTCCGACAGTTGTAGTCTCGAATAATATATGCACATGTAATTTAAATCACTAACTACACACACCTTTGTGAATTATAATTTTTATCTTCAGTCGATAATATTTTTATGTTGTCAACTTTAGATATCTTCAGGGAATGTATGCATTTGGCTTGGTAGAAACTGGATTTTATAAGGAGGCAGAAAAGCGTGCACTGAAGGTAGGACTCACTTAAGGTGGCCGAACACAATTTCCACACGCACTGTTGCTAATGTGATTCAGTGCGTGCACAAGGATTACACAAAGCAAACATTGCGTCGATACAGCACTCATTTTATTTGGTCAATGCCCTTGCTATCTGTACTTTTTTTTCTTCATAATTGAACACGTACAGTGTATTTATGGCTTTACTCTTTTATTAAAAATGTATGTTAGAAAAGGTAACGATGCAAAGAACCCAGCAATTCTCAGATTTTTCATTTTTACCAAAAGAACCCAGTTAAATGCAGCGCATGCTTAGTAAGGCAAAAAATTGTGATTGAATGCGGAATAGCTTTCTTGGAAATACGCCTATTGCTCGAGAAACACAAGTTAGAATTTCATGAACTTTGACACAAGAATACTTTAGAAATCAAGTAACTGGAATATTGAAAACAAATTGAAATTTAACAGAGGCAATTCTAGATATTCCAGTTACATGTAACCTTCTACAAGGGATAATTAAAGATCTCTCTGTTATACTATTATTAAATTAGTGTTAACTTGTGAGCATTGTTACAATCTTGTTGCATGCAAGTGAAAAAGAAAATCTAATGACTAGATTTTCTGCAAACAAACAAAACCAATTTTAAAAGCCTGTTTATATTTAATCATGTTGCCATGGCGATGGCACATACGTCAGCTTAGCCATCAAAAATTCGAAGTTTGTGTTGTTAACTTGCTTGTTGCAATTTTCGGCGACCAAGGGATCAAGGATTTTAGAGAAAAAGGAGAATGAAACACAGGTATCAAAGCTGTGTTCGGCCGCCGTAAATTCTCTGTACATTTTGTGTTTTGATTGCCATACAAGCATGACAGCTCTCTCTCCCCCTGGAGAAGGGGGGGGGGGGGGG